AGGAAAGTGACCAAATGGACTGGGTTTTCCATCCCGGTTTCCCACTGTGGCTCTGAGCGACCTCCTTATAATGCTCTTCATCACTGCACTTCCAGCAATGGCGACATCAGCACCTTTACATGGGTTATCCGGAGGGCTCAGAAGCCTCACCACAGGGAAGGCAGCTTCCTGTTAAACTGCCAGTAAATCACCTTCCACCACCTATCGTGTGTGCACCACAGAGGCTCAGCTCCCCTAGAACACCGGGACAGGCTAGGGCTCACTGTGTGCTGGCTCTGGGTCTGGGCAGGGCCCAGGTGGGGAGAAGAGGAGCAGGGAGGTGTCCCTGCCTAGAAGGAGGACCCACAGAGTCTAGCTCAGGAGACAGATGCACTTGTGCAGGGGCGTGTTCCCAAGTCAGAACTCAGGGAACCAGGGCCTGACAGCAAGCAACAACTGAGATGGAAGCTGACATTAACAAGTGAGCTAGCCCTCGGGCATATGGCTCAGTGGTTGAGCTTCGACCTACGAACCAGGAGGTCACAGTTCGATTCCTGGTCGGGGCACAATCCCAAGTGCGGGAGGCAGCCAATCGGTGATTCTCTATCATCACTGATGTTTCTATCCCTCTCTCCTTCTCCCTTCCTCTCTGAAATCAATTATATATATAAATAAAGTGAACTGGAGTGACCCGGTGGTAAAACAAGAGAATTCTAAGAGAGGAGACGAGGCTTACAAGTGTTGGGAGGCCTCCAGGAAGAACCAAACATTGAGGTATTAGAATGTGAGGCCAGCTCCCCTGCCCCAGGAGTCAGAGTGAGTTCAGCTGGGTCCTAGCCATAGAGGAAAGCCCTGCATGGAGGCCACAGTGCCCAACTCCAGCCCTTCATCAAGGATAAGGCCACTGCTGCCCAGCCCTGCTGGCTCTTGCCCCAAAGAGAAAAGGACAGGGAATCATGAGTCACTGATGAAAGAATTACTATCCTTCTGTGAGCCAGAGGCCAAGGGCTCCCATGGCCCACAGCACAGCACTCCCCCCTCCCCCACGGTCTCTGAGAGCTTCAGAAGGGGAGATGGAGGTGGGAGGCCCAGCAGTCCCCATGCTGGGGTCAGCAGCAGCATGCTAGTGTCGAGGCACAGGGACAGAGACCAGGTTCTGAGGAGGACAGGGGAGAGAAGTGGGCAGACTACTGGGGCTCTGTCCAATTCCTACACCTGCTTCCAACCGGCTAACCTGCACCTACAGCTCTCATTAGGACAGAAATAAATCATGGTGTGTCCCCAGCTATGCAATGCAAATTCAGTAGTTCTCAGTAGTAAAATGTGGTTTAAGATCCAGAACACCAACAAGCCAAAGAAATTAGCCAAAGCACATGGGTCAACAGAAAATACTGCACTTAGGATGGTGGATTAAAATCAATTAGCAGGAGAGCCCTGGCCGGTGTGGCTCAGTTGGTTGGAGTGTCGTCCCATGTATGACAAGGTCACGGGTTCAATTCCCGGTCAGAGCACATACTTAGGTTGCAGGTTTGATCCCTGGTCGGGGTGCATAAGGGAGGCAAAAGATCGATGTACTAGTATCTCTCTCACACCAACGTTTCTTGTCTCTCTCTCTCTCTCTCTCTCTCTCTCTCTCTCTCTCTCCCTCCCTCCCCCCCCCTTCCTCCCACTGTAAAATCAACTTTAAAAAAAATCAATTAGCAGGAGAGATGCTCAAATAATGAAATATCCAACTCCCTATAAAAACTGTCACCCAGGCCCTCGCTGGTTTGGCTCAGTGGATAGACCGTCGGCCTGCGGACTGAAGGGTCCCAGGTTCGATTCCGGTCAAGGGTATGTACCTTGGTTGCTGGCACATTCCCGGGGGGGGGGGGTGTGCAGGAGGCAGCTGATTGATGCTTCTCTCTCATCGATGTTTCTAACTCTCTCTCTCCCTTCCTCTCTGAAATCAATAAAGATATATTTTTTAAAAACACACACACAAAAACTGTCACCCAGGAGGCCGGCAGGAAACCCATGTAATTTCTATATTTATTTCCCACTACTGAGTCTCTTTTTCTAGAGATGAATTAACCAGAAAACTAAGCAAACGACATATCCAATTCACAAACAAGAACATGTTGTTATACATATAGGCTTTTAACAGCTGAAATTATAAATTTTCAACTGCCTTGTAGGCATCTTTTCTAAAATTGAATATATATCTAATGAAGGCAACTGCAGGACTGAGTCGGGAATTACGGCACACTGTTTAATGAAAATACTGACAAATTGGATAACAACATACACAGAACAGCCTCAGCAATTGTGGTTCAGCTGGCTGGCTACGGTCTAGAAATAGGCTGCCCGAAATCGGCATCAATCTTGGAAACAGAAGCAACGCCTCTATTTAGGGAAGATCACTGCATTGGAGCCTGAGGCTGAGGTCAACCCCTTGTCACCAAACCCCACAGAGGGATGGATGTGCCTTGGGATTAGGAAGGTGACCGACCGGTCAAAGACCATCAGCAAGTCCTTTGACCTGAGGCTGTGCTGGGGTGGCAGAAACCAGAGGTGAGAGCCACCTGGCCACCTCTGTTGTCTGAAGGTGGCTCCCACTGCAGGCCATCCAGGACCATAGGCCAGAGTGAAGAGGAGGACAAGGGATGAGGGTGCAGGATAAGGCAGAGAGGGAGAGTTCCAAAAAGCAGACCTGGGCCTGGAAACCCTTTCGAAGAAAGAACTGAGACTTGGAACACAGCCATGAGGGAAGGGGGCCGCTGGAAGCCACGTAAGCCACCCAGAGCGCAGTGAGCAGAAGGTCGGGGCAAAGTTACAGCGAAATTCTGGCTGAGTTCCCTGTCATTTTTGTTAACATAATAAAACAGCCAGTGAAACATCTCCAGGCTGCAAAGTCCATGGCTTTCTAACAGATGGCATAACAAAGTACAAGTGCACTGTCCTCAATCACACGCTCTGGTCATGCCCTCCACCCCCCAGGTAAGTGCTCCTGCAGCGGGAGACTGGCAGGGTCAGTGTCAGCAACTGTCCACCGCACCTCTGCAGAAGGTGAGAATTAGCACACCACCTCACAGACAGGTGGCAGGTGATCACAACAAAAGCAGACACGGCACAGAGAAATGAAGAGGAATTCATTCTGCACATTGTTACTCAGGGGTGAGCTGATCTTTCCAAGGATTCTGGGGAGGCAGCTGTCCAGCCTTCCACCAGCAAAGGATGAAAATCAGGCAAAGCACAATCAATGGCTCCTGGGTCTCAGGTCGGACAGATCCCACAAGCCGAGACAAAGATGTGATGCTGACTGTCCTGGAGGCAGCGGCTGGGCCCGCACTGTCTTCCTGGTTGGCAGGTCGAGGGACACCAGCAGCAGGAAAACCGTTATTGCAGCCAGGGGTCCAGGAGACAGAGAAGCAGCATCCTCACATTTGGCTCCCACAGCGAGCATCTGGGAATGAGGATGAGGGGCCCAGCCTACAGTCTGGAGGCCCCGATGGGCAAGCTCCCTGCTGCTGGTCCCAGACAACTGCTGGGGGGCTGGCCCCACTCCCAGACTCTGGTCCTTAGGAAAAGTGGGCTTGGGATGCAGGGGGCATGAATGTCTGCTGCCTTCTCTGCTGGAAGAGGCCACCGGTGGGCCCGGGAGCCATGGGTCCCAGGCAGGCTTCCAGCCCGCAGGATGAGAATGTAAAAATGTGTAAAAGTCATGGGAAAGGGGCAGCCACACAGAAACCCTCCACACCGTTGGCTCTATTCCCTGGGGCTGCAGGGGCATGGACCTATGCAGAGCGGGCAGAGAAGCTGTGCACTTCGGAGCTGGCCTCCTACCCAAGGTCAGGGAAATAAGCCGGGCCTGCCCTCCGCTGCCCTCTCCATCCCTGGGCTGAGTGACATGAAGGTTGAAGTGAAACGCCTCTCTCTCCTGATTGATGTCAACTCTGACCCACAGCCACAGCTCTGGGGCTGCACCCCCGCCGAATTCCTCAGAGAAAATTGCCCAGCCCTGGGTGGGCTGCTCCTCCAGGGTCAGCCAAGCATATAAACACAAAAGAAAAAGAATGGTTAGGAGCGCTGTGCTCCTAGGACCCTCAATGCACTAAAAATCACTAAATAAAACTTTGTGGTTCTATGTGAGGTGGAGCTAGGTTCTGGGTTCAGATAACTACAGATGTGGGCCGATTTTCATTGGCTGAGCCATCCACACACTGCAGCATGTCCAACACTCCTGCCCTGCCCTGCCTCTGCACTGCCGACAGGACACCAGCCACAACCCAAATGCCCCCCGAATACCCCAAACTCCCTAGGCAGGGTGGTCCTGTCTCCATTGAGGACAACCGCAGTGGCGGGTGGCACCTGTTTCTCCCTCCCCAAATAACAGACAAATAGAATTAAGAAGGAAAGCACGTGTGCCCTCACTGACTGGCTACCGAAGTGGGGACTCCACGGGGATGGGCGACTGCCACCTCCTTTCTAACGCCCAGCTTGCAAGCAGCTCCTGCTGGTGGAGATGGGGACTGTGCAACCTGTCACGCTGCAGTTAGGAACCCGTCCTACTTTGTGCCCTGGGAGACTATGGCTGGAATGTGAGCGCAGTCAGGATGCAATGCTGAAGTGGAAAAACCCAGGGCAGGAAATGATAAGAGTTGTGAGGACGTGGGCAAACATGCCATGAAAATCTCCTGGTCCTTAAGGCCTTGAGGATGTTACCAATCCCAGAAAGAGAGGAGAAAGGCAAGGAAAGTAAGCTTTAAGCAAAGTGAGAGGTAGGAACTGTGTGCAGCTCTGGGTAAGGCATGCTTATGTCCGGGACTAAATCACGGATCAGCTTCCTTTTAGTTTGCAAATTCTATTATATTGTAAGCATTTGTCAGCAAACACTTTTTGCTTCTGATGTTCTGAGTTGTGCGACCCTGAATCAAATTATTCCATGGAATGTGCCATTTGAGCATAAATGGGTGTGAAAGTCACCGAGTTACAGTGATGAAAGCTTCCGGACAAGGACACAGAAATGAAGTCACACTAACCATCTCTGGATACTCTGCTTCTGTTACACACCCCAAGAGACCATCTGTGGCTCTCTCTTATCTTCAGGTTACAAAATTACTGAACAACACGCTGGAAGGTTTGGTCACAATCCACTTTGAACGGGCAGCGGTTCTCAACCTGTGAGTCGAGAACAATGAAAATACATCCTGCATATCAGATATTTACATTACGATTCATAACAGTAGCAAAATTACAGTTATGAAGTAGCAACGAAAATAATTTTATGGTTGGGGGTCACCACAACATGAGGAACTGTATTAAAGGGTCGCGGCATGCGGAAGGTTGAGAACCACTGGGTTAGAGACTGAAGAACAGCCTCTCAACCCATTTTCCTGAACCCATTTTCCTGAACCCAGTGCAGAGCAGTTGTATGAACCACCATGTAGTTTGCTCTGATGAAGACCTGGCAGTTTCCTGCATTCTGTCTAACTAACTGATAACGGCCTTTCACATCACAACTCATAATCTCAGAATCAGCTGGTCAGCTTTAGCAGCAGCAAGAGGAAAATTCCAAGGTGAAGGGTGCAGTGATCCCCACTTCTGCTGGGATTTTATAAAGGCCAAAGTAGACAATAACAGGAAGAGGTTTGAGGGTTCTGTGGTAACAGACTTTTTGTTAATGAAGAAAAGTACCCAAGAGAGGGTGTGATAAGCGTTCCTGTCCCTGCCATCCAACATTGCCAGATGTTAACATTTTATGATGCCTGGAACTAACACATCACAGATAAAGTCCCTAATTTTCCCTCTTCAGCCCTCTTTCATTTATTGGCTAATTTAGTTAAGCCATGAACCATGAGCTTCCAGTCACTTACTCAATTGCTCTGTTGGGCTTTCTTTTCCCCCACAGATTCACAGAAGTTTGCTACAGGTGACGGGCACTGATAATTTCTGTCAAGTATTGCACATACCTCCTCACAGTCAGACACTTCTCTTTTTTAATTTTCAGAGTCTTATCACATAGAAGTTTTACACTGTCATGCAAATTTACCAATCTTTCTGTAAACACTTCTTATATCTTGATATTTTTAAAGGAAGTATTATCTGACTTTAGCTCTTAAGTGATAGAAATTTGATGGCTGATTGTTCCAATGAGGTGAAGACCCCTGAAGGAGAGAAGGAACAATAAAGTCCCAACAAGACAAGTGACTTGTCAAAAGCAGCATGTGGAGAGCAAACCCCAGGGGTCTGATTCCCTGTCCGGTCCCTCTAACCTAGAGGATCAGGTGTGCTCTCCCCACTGGTCAGGACCTGGAGCACTGAAATAAGATTCCAAGAAGTCAAGCTGTGAATAAATAAATGATTAGGGGAGAATAAAAAACTTTCATAAGTGTTCGTTTTCATGATCTTGATTAGATTAAAACTTCTTGATAACAGGGATTATATTTAATGTTGGTTTCCAACTTCTCTCAGGGTCAGAAATTCAAACACCTGCAGGACCAGGTGGGTACTAAGAGAGGGAAGTGGGTGGGTGTGTCCCAGGGCCAGCCGCCATTCCAGGGGCAGCTGTGGAGATGCAGGAATGTAGGCTCCTGCTCAGCACACAGTGGGTCTCCATCCCCATTTGCGGGATGAATGGCAGCACAGAATCTCCCACTGAGCAACCTTCTTTGACATTACTCTCATGAGTTCTAGATAATTTGAGAAAGATAAGTCACTTTGTTCCCACCTTCTGAACTGCACACATAGAAGAGACTGAGAGATGAAAAGGCTCATGCTCTGATCACAAAACCTCCAATAGATTCTGGCTGGGGATGATCTACTGTTCTTCAACATAGTGAAGGCCTTATATTTCTTCTCCTTTAAAAACCCGAGCTGCAGCTGTCACTGAGGCATATTGACAGAAAGCTTACTGCAGTTCTTACCGAGCTGACGATGACAGGAATTAGTACTGCATATCGATTGAACAAGGTTTTGTTTTTCGTTGTACACATTTGTTTTAAATGAAAAGCAACCCACATAAAAAATGCTTAACTTGTTCCAAGTAGGTTACGATAGTTCTCTAAGAGAATAACTTACACAAGGTGGTTTATTTTTTTCAAATGACACCGTTAATTAAGAATTTGCCATTTCAGAATTGACGTCATTGTGTCTGCGTGGCAAAACAGGAACAAAATGAAGTTGCTCCATAAAATAAACAAATTACAAAAAAAAAGGATCCAAAACTCCTTTTAATCTTGGAAGCATCTTGATCTCAGCAAACGAAAGATAAAAAAAATTCCCATCTCTGACTTTTACATCAATAAAGCAAATAAATTGGCTGAGCCATTCATGATGACAGAGACGTTTTATCGGTGTACAAGTTCAATGGACTGTTAACATAAACTGAGAGGTCGTAGTCATGGCTGGCTCGAACCCTGTGTTACACAAATCAGGTAACTGCGTCCATACATCTGCACAGAAGGAGCACAAAGGTCACAGTGTAAATCTGGTCTAGATGTTACACTATTGGAAAGTGGCTGCCTCAAAAAAAAAAATACAAGTAGAGAGTGGGCATAAGTCCTGAGAGCACAGACCTTTGCCCTTTTTATATGAAGTTGCCACTTCTCACTTGCCCTTGCTCATTCTGTAGAAACTTCTTTACCCATATTTCAATAAGCAACATTTACCTAGAGGCGTGTCCCAGAGGTTCAAAATGTCATCATATATCTTATATAAAACTCTGTGCCCTCCATACAATTATACCTATCAATCTATAATAATAAAAGCATAACATGCAAATCAACCGAATGGCCCAACAGCAGAACGATCTTCTGGTCAACCTTCTGGATGAAGCCGGGGCTGCAAGGGCTGAGGCAACCAGGGCTGCGAAGGCCTACTCTTGCATGAATTTTGTGCATCAGGCCTCTAGTATTTTAAAAAGTAGGTATAATGTAGCTACATTAAAATTCAAATTTCAACCATTTGAATATATTTTTGCTATCAGTTTACTGTAGGTCTCTTGAGTTCATCACCAAAAGTAAATATACTTACAATGAGATAACTACTAACATAACTCATAAATTACCATATGACCCAGCAAATCTACTCCTAGGTATATGCCCAGAAGAACTGAAACGTAAGTCGACACAAAAACTGTACGTAAATATTCATAGCCACATTGTTTAAACTAGTCAAAAAGTGCAAGTCTCCCAAGTGTCCATCCATTGATGAATGGATCAGGTGTGGTGTATCCACACAATAGAGGATTATTCAGCCATAAAAAGGAATGAAGCATTGACATATGAACCTTGAAGATACGTTGAGTGAAAGAAGCCAGACACAAAAGGCCATATATGATTCTGTTTATATAAAATGTCTATAATAGGCAACTCTAAAGAGACAGAAGATCAGTAGTTGCCAGAGGCTGAGAGAAAGGGGGATGAAGAGTGGTTGCTAATGGGTGCAGGGGTTTTTTCGGGGGAGATGAAAATGTTCTAAAATTAGAAAGTAGTGACATTTGCACAATTCTGTGAATATCCTAAAAAACACTGACTTATACACCTTAAAAGAGTGAACTGTTATCTCAATAAAGCTGTTGTTTATACATATGAAAAAAGAAAAGTAGGTGTAGTATAAATTCTGGAATGGGAATGAAAACCCACTCTTGTTGTTTGCAGTCTATCCAAATTTAAAATATGTGTAAACTTCTCACCACATCCTTTTGGATTTGATAGAATTACTGAGCATTTGGGCACAAAGGAGGATGCTAACATAGCACTCTTAGCTATGTGCCTGGTGACTGAGACAGTGATCCAGCACCCGCTCCCAGGACACCTGCTCTGAAAGCCACCCTCATCTTTATTTTCCGTCTGGATTGAATCTCTCATTACAACATCCATCATCTGCTTCTGCCCCCATTACTTAACAACCCTCTCATCTTTCCTACAAGACTTTAACTCTTTGAGGCAGGATCTGGGTCTAATTCTTTCTGGAACAAATCCTCAGCTCCATCTTAGAACCTTACTAGTAAACAGGATAAGAAGGAAACAAAAGGTATGAATGGCATGTTGCCATTTTTACAAGAAAGAGAATAATTTGGTATTATGTTGTGGGGGAAGAAGCAATTTTCCTCTACCCTTCAAGACTCTTTCGGCTGGTCTAATTAAAATAACATGAGACAGCCCTGACCGGTTTGGCTCAGTGGATAGAGCGTCGGCCTGCGGACTGAGGGGTCCCAGGTTCGATTCCGGTCAAGGGCATGTACCTTGGTTGCGGGCACATCCCCAGTAGGGGGCGTGCAGGAGGCAGCTGTTTCCCTCTCATCGATGTTTCTAACTCTCTATCCCTCTCCCTTCCTCTCTGTAAAAAAATCAATAAAATATATATTTTTAAAAAATAACATGAGACAGATTACCAAGAGAAAATAACGGTATTTAATTACATACGTACACATGGGAACCCCACATACACGAGAGAGTCAGAGATACCACATGTACAAGAGGTTCAGAAAGAGAAAGGGGAAATGAGGTATATGTGACATTCTGAGCTAAAGATCATCTTAGGGCTTCAGAGAAGACAAAAGTCATTGCAGGTAATAAGAAGAGCAGATACTCAGTAATTAGTAGTTTGCCCGGCCACACAGATAGGTCAGAAAAGTTATTTTTGCCCAGTCGGTGTGGCTCAATGATTGAGCATTGATCTATGAACCAAGGTTTGATTCCTGGTCAGGGCCATGCCTGGGTTGCAAGCTCGACCCCCAGTAGGGGGTGTGCAGGAGGTAGCCGATCAATGGTTCTCTTTCATTATTGATTTTTCTTTTTGTCCCTCCCTCTCCCTTCCTCTCTGAAATCAATATATATATATATATTTTAAAGTCATTTCTTGTGAATTTTTTATTATGGGCAAAGCCAATAATATAAATTTTTCTAGGTGATTAAAAGGAGAGACAGATGTTTCTCTTGAGCCTGCAAGGTTTCAGTTGCCTTTAGCTCAAAATAATCCACATACCACAGAGGTACATCATCGGGTGACTTGCTCTGAACCCCTACAGTGTTTACTCAAGGAAGTGACCAAACACAAGTATTACTAAGTGTTTTGTACTGAGTGAATGAATTTGTTCAATGATTTTGTTTTGCACTTTAGCTGATAACTTCTGATGCCCCAGCTAAGG